AAGTTCAATTTGTCTGAATGCAAGATGAAGCATAATTGATTTTTGACATTTTAATTTTAAGTGAGCTGGTTGTCAGATTTCACTTGAATAGGTCCCACAATATCTGCATCAAGGACATGTCGACTATCTTCAAACATTATTGTCATTTTTCTCTATTCATAAATTTGTCTTACTACTGTAAATGCTATTATTCAACATGTGTAAAGGATGATAGGTGAACAAATTTCAAGTTTATTGTGAATATTATACACACTACACAGAAATTAGTAATTTGTAACAATCTTTACTTGTTCAACATTATTGAACAACAGGTAAAATCAGACCTATGGAAGAGATAGTATTGAGCCTCCATAGAGGTCAAAGAACCATACCAGACATTGCATAGAGAGAGAGAATTCAAAGACAGCCTCTGACCAGGGAGGAGACTGGAGAAAAATCACCCCAGTTCTGTAAGAACTATAATAATGGCAAGAAACAAATTTTTGAATGCACAGAAGCATGAGTGCCTTTGCGTCAAGGAAAAATATCACAAAGAAGTGACATGAGACGTGTCCTGAAGGATTTGTAGTTTTCCAGGCAGAAAATCAGTGAAGGTGATGGCCCAGAGCCCCGAAAGGGCACACCTCTCCCTGGAACCTGAGATTGGAATACCAAGTGCAGGATACATGACACAGTAAGAGATCAGTCTGCAAGGAAGGACCAGGATACTACACCAAGGACCATGGGCCTTTCTTGTGACAATTAGATTTGACTTTTGTCAAACTAATGACAATTAGATTTGACTTTTGTCTAACTTTTGTTAGGGGACAACTCTAGTGGAGGTGTACATAACACACAAGAAGGAAAAGAGGAAAACAAAAATCTAGTTGGGAGGCTCTTGCAAAAATCTCAAAAAAGGTATGATGAAGCTCCAAACCACAGCAGCTGGGATCCAGGGATGTCAAGAAGTTCACCTACTGCTGCAAAATAAACAGCCAAGAGAATCTCGGGGACACATAGTAAGCATTTATTCTCAATTGGACTGCACCTGCCAGTCTGGCTGAGCATCTTGGCGGAGACATCTCTGCTTCACATAATTCTCATCTTCCTCTTGGGACCATTAGCCAGCCCAGGATGTTATGTGTGTGTTCTTTTAATGTCTATGTCAGAATGATAACAACAGGTGAGACATGCAAGACCTCTTCAATCCTAGGAATGGAACTTGCTTTATTGGCCAAACTCAAAGTCATAGGAGGGAGAAACGTACTCTACCTTTTTAGTAGCAGGGACTCTGAAGTCAAATGGCAAAGGACAGGAGCATATCGGGAATATGCCCACCCCATCCAAGTGTTCTCAAAGTTGCCATCCAATCACAGCATTAGTCTTGAAGTTAAGGACCCTGTGGTCTATGTTAGGTCCAAAAATCTGCCCACCAAACACACCCACACACCCTACTATAATGGTGAAGATGAAGGAGGGACAAGATAATTGCAATAAATATCCTGAAGAAGGAGACTCATGTCACTGTCCCACAGCAATTCTCAATCTGTTGAATGGAAATTTTCTTGACTAGGTCTCCATGGGAGTGCGTGTCCAGTGCATAGTTCTCCATTGCTTTTGACTCTACCCTTCAAGATGTTCTTCTTTTTTTCCATCCTCCTCAACTACATCTGAAAAGGACTTTCAAATATACAGTATGTTTGGCAACTAGGCAACTTTCTCAGCATACTACCTGCCTTAGAAATTTAAGGGTCAAGAGGGTTTTTAAAAAATATATATTTTCATAAAGCCTCAATCTCCTTTAGTGTCCGATGGACTGTGCTTCTGCTAATTCAATTTTCTAAAACTATCCGAATTTTTACGTATTTGATTCCACTTTGTGTACCAAAAACCTACAATTCTTTTCTACACACGCCCTCCCCCTTTTTCTCTCTCAATTGTGATACCACCAGTAAGGACATTTTAGACCATGGTGAAACCATGCCCTTAAGCTTCCTAAGCCTCCTCTTTACCAGCTGAATGTGTCTACGGCAGACACCGAATTATTTTTATTCTCAGGTATCCTTAACACCATTAAAAACTATTGAAGACTCCAAAAAGCTGAATCTATAACCAACGCGGGAAGAATTGATATGTAACGATATTGAGCTTTTTGATGGTGAACGTGGCAAGTTGGCAAGTCTCTCCATTTGTTTACATTCTCTTACCACTGTTTTGTAGTATTCGTTACACACATCTTGCACATAGAATAGCAATTGATTTTTGTGTATTAACCTTATAACCTGCTGTTAAACTCAATTAGTTTTAGTTTTTTATATATCCCATTGGAATATTCTAGAGTCAAGTGTGACCTTTGAGTAGAGACTTTTTACTTATTCTTTTGTAATCTGAATGCTTTTCATTTCTTTTTCTTGGCTAATTGCCCTGGTTAGCAACTCCAATACTATGTTTAATAAAAGGCACATCAGATGCCTTTGCTTTGTCCCTGACTTTAGGGGAAAAGCACTCAGTTTTTCGTCATTATGATGTTAGCTTCTGAGTTTTGCTGGATGTCCTTAAACAGGTTGAAAAGTTGTCTTTTTATTCCTCCTTCACTGAGTTTTTGTCAGGAACAAGTGTTGGGTTTTGTCAATGGTTCTTACTTCCATCCATGATCATACGGCTTTCTTACGTTAGTCTGTTAATACAGTGAATTACAATTAATTTTTTAATGGTAGCCTAAATTTGCATTCTTGAGATGGTGTGGTTTGGGTGTTTGATCCATGATGTTGAAATGTGATCCCTGGGGCGGTGCCTGTGGCTCAAAGGAGTAGGGTGCCGGCCCCATATATTGGAGTGGAGGGTTCAAACCCAGCCCTGGCTAAAAAAAAAAAATAAAGAAAGAAAGAAATCTGATCCAAAGTGTTGAATGTGGGGCCTGGTGGGAAGCGCTGGGTGATAATGACGGATCCCTCCTCAAGGTCTTGGTGCTCTTTATTAGTTCATGTGAGAACTGGATGTTTAAGAGACCGGTACTCCCTCCTTGCTGTCTTGCTCTAGCTCTCTCCATGTGATATGCCTGCTCTCCCTTTGCCTTCCTCCTTATTTGGAAACTACCTGGAGCCCTTGCCAGACGGAGATGCTAGAGCCATTCTTCTTGTACAGTCATGTAGAACTGTGAGCCAAATAAACCTCTTTTGTTTATAAATTACCCAACTTTGGGTCCTTTATAGCAAGACAAATGGAGTAATACATGAGATCAACTTCACTTAGTTATGTTTATTATCTTTTTTTACATGTCAATGGATTCCAACTGCTAAAATTTTGTTTAGAACTCTTGCATCCATGTTCAACATGAACACTGGCCTGTAGTTTTCTTATCATGATAATGCCTGACATGGTACCAGGGTAATGTCGCCCTGAAACAATGAGTTGGAAATTATCCCCTCCTCTTCCATATCCCAGAACCATTTGTTGAAAATTGGAATATTTTCTTCCTTAAATATGTGAAATAGTTGACCAGTGTAGCCATTTAGGTTTGGCATTTTGTCAGAAATAGCCCATAGTGCTGTCATTCCTCTCATGATATTAGTAATGTAGGTGTCTTTCTCATCAGTCTGCCTAAAGTTTATCCATTTTATTGATCTTAAAGAACTTGCTTCTAATTTCACTGATTTCCTCAGTTGATTTTGCTTTCCATTGTATTAATTTTTCCTTCTTTTTTCCTCTTATTTTGGGGTTCTTCCACTATATTTTTCTAACTTCCTGGAAGCTGAGGCCATTGGTTTTGAGATCTTTCCTTCTCAAACACACACTTTCAATGCTGTAAATCCCCTTTGTAAGTACTGCAACCACTCACCCCACAGATTCTGATATCTTCTGTTTGCATTTGCCTTCTGTCCACAACAATATTGTATTACTTCTTTTCTTTTCTTCATAGCTAAACTATTTGTGTCTTTATATTTAAAGTGAGTTGTTCATTCTCAGGATAGTTGAATTTAAAGAAGCAAGACTCAGTCTGGTAATTAATATGGGTAGCTTTGACAATTTACATTTAATGTAATTATTGACATGGCTGTTGGAATCTGTCATATCAGTGTTTATTTTCTACTTTCTCATCTATTCTATTCCTTTTTTCTTTTTCTGTCTTCTTTTGAAATGTTTTATGCTTATGTTCTATCACCCTTATTGGCTTGTTAACTTTTGGGGTATGGTTGCTTCAGAGTTTATTGCATACATCCCCACCAGTTTACTTTGATTTGACATTATACTGCTTCACAGTACACGAACCTTACAGTGATATGCTTTCTTTCCCATTCTCCCAACCTTGATGGGGCTGTCATACATTTTACTTTACACATTAACCACATGATACCTTATTATTTTTTGCTTTAAATAATCTATTATCCTTTAAAGTAAATTGAAAATGAGGAAAAAAGTCTTCTGCATTGGGTCACCACTTACTACTATGTTTGGTGTTCTTCATTCTTCCATGACATTGCAGATTTCTGTCTGGTATCATTCTCTTTCTGACAAAAGGCATTTTTAACATTTCCTGTAGTACAAGTCTGCTTGTGATGAACTCTTTCAGTTTTTTTTCAGTACAAAAAAGTTATTTCATTTTTGTTTTTGGAAAAATAGTTTTTGCTGACATAGAATTCTAAATCAAGTTTTTCTCTCATGACTTTAAAGATGTTGCTCCAGTACCTGAAATTTTTACCTTTATCTGTGTCTTTTTTCTCTAGCTGTTTTAAAAAATTCTCCCTTGTTGCTGGTTTTGAGGAATTTGATTATGATACGCCCTGGCATAATTTTCTTCTTATTTCTTGCATTTGGGGTTCATGAAGTGTCCAGGTCTCATTTGTTTCCCTCTTTTCAGGGGTACCTATGTTGCCTGACGGTGCTTCATGTCCGGTATCTAACAACTTTTCACATATTTTACCTTTTTTTAAATTTTTTTATTTCAAGGGGTAACTCCAATTCCTATTATGCCATTTTGGTTAGAGACAAAGTTTCAATTTTAAGTTTCCTATTTTTTTAAAATCAAATTTTATTTTTTGTATTTACTTGGCTTTTAATTTCCAGATCAAAAATGTTTCATCTATACACATGAAATTACTGAAGTTGTTTTATTTATCCCACATCTTTTAGAACACATTATGTGCATTTATTTTTTTAAAAAGGCAATAGGAAAATATCAACAGATTTAAATACAACAAGTAGGCAAAACATACTAATACTTACATCTTCCAAATCTGTTTGGTAGTGATATAGAAGGGAACTTGTTACAAGTCATAATGCTTCATAATCTGTCAGGAAAAGATCACGTTCACATGTCTATATGCTTTAAGACAAACGGATTCTATGAGCCACATTGGGAGAAAGTCAAATTCCTGCTTTTATTTTTAGAAGTAATTATTAGTATGCTTATGCTTACTAAATATACGCTTAAAATTTTCCATCACTTTGGAAAACTATAAAGTTAGTAAGCTAAACTAGATTTTTTTTAATTTTAGTAAATATTTTCATATCAGAAGTCAAAAATTGGGCAAGAGAACTATGTACAAAGTACAGAGTTTAAATCTTTGGAACAAGAGACAACCAGAGATGAATAAGTCAGTAGGTCTCCTAATCTTACATCGCTAAAACTGTAGATCACAGCAGACAGATGTATACATCTACCTACCGCCAAAGAGGTGTAACTTCTTTTGACAATTAACCTTTCTAAATAATTATCTGGTAAGGCCAGTAATATAAAAATATTATGCACTGTGCACAAATGAATTAAAGAAAGTTAATGATACAAACCATAAAACACAATAATCCGTACTTCTCACTTGGGAGAACAAAATGGCAATAATACTACAATATTTAATACCTAATATGAAATTTTCACTGATTCTAAGTTGAGTCATATCAATTTGAAATTTTAAGATATAATTTTGCATGTTATTAATTCATGAGATAACTTGATACAGCTCTTATTGAGCCTTACTAAAGCTCAGTGGTTTTTTATAGGTAAAGTTAGTTTAAAAATACCACTCAGGAGTAGAGACTTGTCAGAAGAACAATATAGTGACACAGATGCAAAATAATATAATGTGATGTGTGCAATTCAAAATTCCAAAAATTGTCTTATCAAATGTACATGTAATAAATAATAGTCATACTTGACTGCATCAAGTTAACAAAACAATTGCTAGCTACCCTATATTGTATTAGCCAATGGCTTAGAAATACAAATTGCCATTTTAAAATTACTTTCTCCATAAAAATAGAAGGCATATCAAATTTCTTAAATCTCAACTATCCAAAGAAGTTTGAAAGACAATTTGTCAATCAAAAATACAAGTCAAAAAAAGATCATTAAAAAACATACATTACCTATTTTTATGCATAATTTTCTTCTCATAAGAAAAAGGGCACTTAGTGTATAGCTAAGGCTTTCGCAAAACCCAGATCCTGTTGACTTTTGTATTAGGCAGATGACATATTGTAGTTGTTAATATAAAAATATAAATATTTTTGACAGAGAAGATTAAATAGTGGTTATTGTAAAATTCCGTTACCCTTCTACTTGAAAAAAAAAATTTTTCCCCCCGGAGGCCATAAAAACAATACTGGTTCTAGGTAGTCTCTGCTGACAGAAACTTCCCAAGTCACAACACATTACAGCGTCACTGAAATTTCAGAAGTGGGCCCGCAGCCTTTTGTTTTCTTCTCGTAGTCTTTCAATTTCAGCCACTAAACCTTCATTCACGGAGTATCTTTCCAGCAAAGAGTGCATTTCATTCTAGAAAAAGGGGGGGGAATGCTTTTTAAATTAGTGGTATTCATATTTATTTGGCAAGCTATGTTTTACAGACTTTCAGCTCATTTCTCTCACGTTCAATTAACTGAGTATCTCTTATACTTGAGTACTCTGACTGCTTTAATACAAATGAAAGATCATTGGTGAAATTAAGATCATAGAAAGATATGTAATATATTCGCACATTTGGGAGACTTTTACTTATGAGGGAAAAAGCCATAAAAAGGTAGCATGTTAACTATTACAAGTCAAAAAGGTGATGGGTTAAAATCTATTTTATTCATTAAATTTCTAAAACTCCCAATTTTTTATCTCAGAAACTAGTTATAATATCTAAGTGAAAATATACTGCCCTTTAATGGAATTGTTTGGATCCACACACTTTCCATTCATTTAAAATACAATTTGGTACACATACCAGCTGCATATGAAACTGTTTAATCATCTCCACTTGCAAGTTCACAATGTCCCTATGGCACGCTTCTCTAGGACAGAACATAAAGTACTTGTTAGAAGTGTAACAGTTTAACCAAGACACTGGTCAAGCTTTTTCACTGCTTCAAATTATTAGATGTTAATAATTATAATAAAAGTATCAATGAACCCAGCATTTATTTGCTATCTGCTAGGCACTGGTTCTTATCCCTTAAATGTAAGAATTCCTTTAATCTTCACAATTATGTGCAATTATTACCTCCATTTTATCAACAAAGCAACTGAGCTACCAAGTGGTTATAACTTGTCCAAAGTAACACAATTAGATGGTGGAGCTAGGTTATAAACCTCGGCTATCTCCCCCAGAACTCTCGTTGTACTATATTCCTTTACAGAAATTACCATTAAGAAAATTATGAAATATAATAATAAAAGCAGCACTCAGGCGTCTGCCATACAACTTACAAGCTAGAACTTGACCAAAGCATACATGCTTCCTTTGTGCTCCTGGCACTTACATCTTGAGGAAAAGCCCCCCTCACTCCACCCCCAGCAAAAGCTTCTACCCTCCTGAATTTTGTTGAGCAAAGAAATATTTAAACGCAAATACATTTGATACCATGTAATCCATAGTGCAGTGTTTCACTGTTCTCGATTTTGACCATTACAAAAAGGGTACCTAAACCTATGAAGTCTAAGTAGCTTATATTTAAGAAATAACTCAATATTATGTTTCCAAGGTTCATGTTCTATATACTTGCAATTCATTGGTTTGTACTCATCTATCCACTTTTCAACCTAATGATATTTTGATTGTTTCAAGTTTTTATTATCACAGTGCTGTCATAAACAAGCATATATGTATCTCCCAATCCGCATGTGCAGTCTCCTTAGATGATATCCTGGTATACTTGCTCAGTTTTATAAAATCATGCAAATTGTTTTCCAAAGTGGAATAGCAACAGACATTTTCATCATCAGCGTAACAGAGTTCCTCTTGCTCTATATCCTCACCAAAGCTTGCTGCTACCAGACTTTTTATAATATTTTCCCATTTAATGGGTATGAAATCTCATTGCATTTTCAGTTCCCTGATCAATTATGGGGTTGAACACCTTTCCTATGTTTATACACAATTTCTCTTCCTTGAAATGCCTGTCTATAACTTTTTCTCATGAGAATTCATTACATAATGCAAGCCTTTGTTGGTTATATAAGTATTTTCTTATTCCTTCACTTTGTTGGTGGTATCTTGTGATAAACAGTTATATTACTGTGCTCAAATACAATAACCTAATAATACAAATTTTCTATTTTTTTTTGAGACAGAGTCTTACTGTGTAGCCCTTGGTAGAGTGCTATGGCATCACAGCTCACAGCAACCTCAAAGTCTTGGGCTTAAGCGATTCTCTTGCCTCACCTCCCAGTAGCTGTAACTACAGGTGCCCGCTACAACACCCAGGTATTTTTTGTTACAGTTGTCACTGTTGTTTTAGCTGGCCTGGGTCAGATTCGAACCTGCCAGCCTCAGTGTATGTGGCTGGTGCTGTAACCACTATGCTACGGGAGCCAAGCCTTTTTCTCTCTATTTTTATAGGTAGTACATTTCCTTATTTATAACTTCCCTACCCTGAACTTAGATAAATTCTCTTATAATGTCTAAGATTTTGCCCTTTAGATTTACTATTACACTACATGGAATTGATTTTTTTCAGCAACATGAAACAATACTTATTTTCTATATGAATAGTCCCCTGTTTCACACACATTTTCTGTATGAACAGTCAAATGCCACAGCACTACTGATTGCCCCGTTTTGCACACAGATCTGCAATGCTGCCTCTCTCGCACATCAAACCTACATGTGTAGGTTTCTTTCTAAGCTGTTTGATTCCTTTGGCCAATATGTCCACCCTGTGCCAATGCTATACTATTTTAATTATATTTTAATAATTAAGCTTATTCAACCGACAAACCCTTTTCAACATTATTCTTCTCTGGAGTATTTTGGTTATTCTTAGATTTTCGTTCTTCATATACATTTTGGAATCATCTCATCACCTTTCAAATCCCAGTTGGGATTCTGAATGGAGTTGCATTCAATCTACAGACCCATTGAGGTGAACTGATAACTTTATAATATCTTTCCATTTATTTAAGTGTTAATTCCGTCTAATAATTTTTTTATATGTTTTTCTATGAAAATCTTCACAGTCTTTGGTTAGATTTATTCCGAAGTACCTTATATTTTCTGTTCTAACTCTAAGGGTATGTAAATAATTGTTTTTCTTCTGTTTTCCGTTATAATAAAAGCTGTATTAAAAACTAATAAACTGTACCCCATGACTACAATAATGTACACAGCTATGATTTAATTAAAAAAAAAAAAAAAAACAACTAATAAACCGAAGGTATCTGAGAACCACCAAAGTAGCCAGTACTTGAAGCGCCATGGACTTGCAAAAAAGGGAAGTCCAGGGAAGTCCCACATTTACCTCCACTTTTCTCTCCCTGGAGTCTGTGCTGATGCCACATGTAGAGAAATAAGGCCAAGTCAAAACAGTGGCCTAGACCTTGACATGGTCCCACTGGGTGAGGGAGCGTTTAAAGTGTGAAACTGCCAACACAGCCAAAGCTGGCGGGTCTGAGATCCTGAAGAGGAAAGGCCTGGGGAAAAGTACCCCCAACAATTTCCCCTCAAGACTCTGCTGACTCTTAAGCAATGCTCGGACTTGGTTAGAAGGCTGGGAACCAAACATTAAAGAGCAGATAAAGAATTCTGGCAGGCTAGTGATGCTGGCAAAACAGAAGGTGAAGTTCAAGGCCCACCAAGGTAAGAAGACAGTGAATACTCCAGCTGTTCAGCTGATGTCCTACAAGAGCAAAGACTAAACCCCAGGAATAAAGGCAAACTGGACACAAACCAGTCCTCAGAAAACCTGAAGCCTAGCAACTACAGGATCTCTTGCCAAAAGAAACTTAAATCTTCCTAAAAGACAGCCTGAACAGATGCGCAGACTTCCGCTGAGGATGTAATCTGTCAAACCTAATAATGAGAATGAGCCTGGTAACCTACAAAATCATATGTTTTTGAATTCAACCAAACAGCCAACAATGCAAAGAAATCTAAATGAGCTAAAATTCAGAAAATCATGAGTCCTTTCTGGGAAAAAAAGAACCAGGATTGTTTTCATCCTCAACAGAGCAGAGCAGGAGAAAGCTTCCCGATAGGGTAAAGAGAACTAGCTGAAATTCTTCTAAGGTCTTTAAAGGCCAGGTGAACACTGGCTCGATGGTTTAGGATCCCAAACAGCACTAGCCACACTGGTCTGCATTCAGTCCCCGACTTTTCCCCACAGGCCTTCACTGAGTACTTATGTAACACTGAAGGACAGGAGGAGCAGGACGGCTGACAGTGACCCTGAAGGCACAGATGCACAGAGCCTGGTGGAGACCAAGAACAGGAGACAAAAACTGAGCACCCCTCTGAGGCACTCCAGGCCCTCAGGAGAGAAAAGGCTGGGAGAACACCCCAACTCGCTCCTCTGTCTCCACAATGACACATAAATGTAGCTGTATATGACCTGTTGAAGGCTGACAGCAGATCCTTCAGCCACTCTGGGTCCTTACCGAGGCCCAGGCAGAGGCCTTCTACAGAAGGGACAGAGGCAGGAGCTGAGAGGCCCCACCTCCGTGCCAGGCACAGATACGCTAGACATGATGAAGGCTGAAGGCTGAAGGTAGGGCAGCAGAACCAAGAGAAACCCTCATGGCACCATAAGCCGTCATCACACACCCTGCCAAAAGAAATCCCCCAGGGGTGGAAGGGAGGCAGACACAGCCTGCAGGAGGGACAAGCCAAGGACAGAAGAGATAAAAGAATCAACCTCCAGCAACCCCCAAAGGTGGCAGCAGGCTGTAAAACACAGAAGTTTTAGCATCACCCCAGCACTATGATCCCCAGGTCTGAAACGGAAAGGTCCTGTGCCCACTGCCCTCAAATCATCTGAAGCCACTGGTGACCTGACTGCCAATGCTTGTTGAATAAATGGCTGACCAACAGATACGTTACCTTATTCCTGTGCTTGAAAGTGTGGATGGCTCTCCTTTACCTGTGTGCTGAGGCCCTGGTAAGTCCCTTCCTGGCCTCGTCTCTTGCCACAGCACCTCCTCTCTGCCAGCAATCCTCGAATGTCCCATCACGTCTCTGCTCATGCTGTTCTGACACACTTCAGTTCAAAATAAATTTCAGCGATACCTTTCTGAATCTACCCCAGGAAAAGAACTGCTTCTCTCTGTTTCCAGCACCACTTTGTTCAACTCACAGTCAGCTGTATCCAGACAGTTCTAATTTTATGCCATAAATATTTATGTATTCCTGAAAAAAACTCATAATCTTTAAAACTGTGTATTAAAAATAAAAGAACTTAAGGAAAAAGGATTTGGGGCAGACCACTCAATACCTATGGAACTTTGTAACCAGAGAAGTAACAGAGACAATTAAATCCTAATAAAAATACTAACACAATAAAGACACAGTAGAAGTCTAATAGATACATATTGAATAAGAAACTTGACCTTGAAAAGGCGACAGCTGCACACAGAAGGGGACAGTAAAGGAAGGATTTGGGCTGTCAAGTTATGGAGGCAAAGGGCACAATGCACAAAGATGAGGACTAGTCACACAGTTAAGTGCTTCTCACAGAGCACACAGCTAAGCCAAGAGAAGAGGAAATGATTGAGAAGAAATGGACTCAGACAGAGAGTTTGCTGCTTTCGTGTTTAGGTGTATTGGTCCAGGAGCAAACAAAATCTCCTCCTTGTACTGTCAACACTGCCCTATTTACCAACTACAAATGAATTTACATAAAAGAAACAGACATCACAGTGTACACTACACCTGTCCCAACGAGACTGTAAGGCCTTTTGTGGGCAGATCATCCATTTTTGCAACCTTAGTATCTGGCACAGACACTTGACATAGTAAATGCCAAAAAAGATCATTTCTCTTAAATTTCTTAAAATATTTTAAATGTTAAACAGAAAAAGTGCACCTCCTCTAACATTCTTGCTTATGATAATCCAAACCTGAGCTAGAAAATTCATCAACTATAGACCAGAGAGGAAAAAACAAAACAACAAAACCCAGCAGATTATAATAACTGAAGAAATGGTGAGATACGTAAAAGTAACATTCTAGAACGTATTCTTACAATGGACGAGAAAGACAAGGATAGGTCTGTGAAAGTTTTTTAAAGTATTACCTTCTGATCGATTTTACTTGAAGATATTCAGAATGCTCTTTAAAGTATCTTTCTATACATTATTGCTATGCATATCTACTACTAAATAGTCACCTAGAAATGCTATCTATAAGAACCCCACTTGAGCTTTTCAGACTCTGTTCATACTTTGATGATATAAAAACTCACAACGGCAGCCTGTCTGCTAGAATGCTATGCCAAGTTATTTAATAATTACCCCAGGTAAATGTGCTTTTTTTCTGGCTTATCATCAATAAATTTAGTACAAGATCAACAAAACCTGTCGTGTTTTCTAGTTTTATTGTCACCAGAACCTAGACAAAAGCAGCAACCACCAACATTCCTTTTTAGTTCTGGTGCTACTTCTCGTAAAGAGCAAAACATTTAAGTTCTAAAGAAGGAATAATTTCTCAATTAGTACCTAAAGTCATCTAATGTCTCCTGGATCATGTTCTGAATAAAACGGATCTGAATGGATGTCAACGGTGCGTTGGGCCGGCTGCTTCCAATGGTATCAGCTATTTTTTCTGAGAGTGAACTGGCAACTCCAACAGTGACAGAGGATGCTATCTTTGGATCTAAAATAAATGGAGAACATATTAATAGTCAGCTTGGACATCCAACATTTCTAAATAAGATCTGGCATGAGAAAACTTGAAAAACTGGCAAAGCACAGTGTTCCTGTGACATTTAGAAAAATTCACTGACTGGATACAAATCTTAGCAACTTTCTATGACATTATTTCTAACGGTCATTTATCTATATGTATTAACTGCCAACTGTCTAATGTAATGACGGGAGACAGAGGGATTAATCTTGAAGAATCTCTGAACCATTTCCTCTTATAAAAGATGAATGTGACAAGGTGTACCACAAACTAGATAAACCAAGACTATTAAAAACAAACAGAAGGGATACGGGGGTAAAGGAGCGCCACAGGAAAAGCCCTGGAGTGTGGGCTAATGCAATACAGCCACAGAGAGCTAGAAGACAAATACAGATATTTATGTACCAGAGACGCTTCTATACAAAGAGCTGCTTTCTGCCTTTGAATAGATAACTCTTATAGCCGAACCTAATATTCCTTTAAATGTGATGAAGTTTTTACGGGTCTGTAGCATAAATTCTAAGGATAAGACTTTAATATGATGAAGAGAAGATTTACAATTTCAAGGAGTTAACCACCACTCCTTTTCAAAGGGTCCTACGTAATAATTCTATCTGTATCATATTAAATCAAGACACGTACATATGAGATTGAAAATGAAATTCACACCAAGAGAGGATCAGATAAATGTAGCTAAATTTAACCATTCACATGAATTTCATTATCTCCCAGTAAGAGTCAAACTAAAGAAATTATCTATAAACTAACCTCTGTGAACATTTTTAGTTGATGGTCACTCTATTTCTCTTTTACAAGTTAAATAATTGGGAGGACTGCTGAACTTAACACTTTCAAATATCAAGAAGTGTTGTGTACTTACTTGGAGGTGAGGATCCATTGACTGGAGGTTCATATATCAACTGGGCTTCAATTTCTTTCTCTGGCTTTTCAAATTTCTCAGAATTTCTTATTTGATTAGATGATAGAGAGGTATTTAAATTTCCAGTTTCAGCACCAGAGGTGATCAACTTCGCAAGCTTTGCATTTAAAATAAATAAAAATTAACATATAATCTCTTATTTAACTAATATATAAAAAGTTTTTACCTACCTTTCTCTTTTTTTCTAGTAGATAAATGTAAATGAAGGAATAATACGAAGGGACACGGAGGAGGAAAAAAATACGGAGACTAGCAGCAAAATAAATTAGCATTTACTAAGAAACAATCTCAATGATAACGTGATGAAAAGTTCATTTGCTAAGCCTCCGTAGCTGAGAATCATTTAAAATAGAAATTGCTCCAAAAAATTTTTTAAAAATCCCAAACTCTCAAGTTGTAAAAGATATTTTTATATTTGCATGATATCAATGTCATTTTAAACAATAATGTAAAAACAAAAACGCACATATTGCACACCTCAAAGACTTGGCCTTCTAGTAATATTTGATCATTCTGAACCCTTGAAAATGAAATTTTACACTGTATATTATATTTTAGCAAAAAGTAGTAATTATGAATTCCATTCTCAGAACTACCAATTTCCTCTAAGACTTAAGAATAAATGACCTGACGACCAATTTGGGGTTCTATGCTGCAACTGAAATACATTTTAAAAGAATCTGGGGATAAAGTGTTCTTGTACAGGCAGATTTATCAAGTATTTCATCTTAGAAAAAAATAGTGTTAAGTTTATATCTACTGTTACCGTCAACATATCCAAAGCCATATTTCAAAAGTATTTTTATTTAAAAATGACACCAAGATACATAGATATTTGTCTACCTCGTGAGAGCACCGCATTGTCACTAATGGGGATAGGTCCACTGGCAGCTGTCCCTTCCTAGTGACAAATACGGGGAATCATGTCTAGGCAGATACCTGTTTGAAGGTGTCCTTAGGTTCCTGTTTTCCCAGATACATTTTCTTAGACTCAGCTGTCAGATCATGATTTTCATTTTCTTCTTTCCCTGGAGACCCCATAAAGACATTAAGAGGACTAGAATGCAGTACGGGAGTGCTTGAAGCTACTGGATTTTTTCTTGGAGGAAATACTGAGTTCAACTGTGGTAGAAAGTCAAGGCCTGAAAAAAGAAAAGGAAAAAAATTAAATTAGCATCTGACAGACTACAATCATGATTATTTTATAAAAGTACTTAACATGAAAGGCAGATTACTAAGGTGGAAGATCTGGGATGCGGACTCGGAAGACGAGTCTGTTTCCCAGCTATACCCCTCCCTGGAGGTGTAGCCCCCAGCGAAAGTCTTAAAGCTTCCATGCTGTCTGTGAACGTAAATGAGGACATGCATCTCCCAGGGTCGCAAGGCTTAAAAGATACTGCGTGTGAAAATGGCTAAATGTTTTAGTATTTGTTTTTAGTAACTAAAAATTCTTTTTTTTTTTTATTAAGTCCTATATACATAGATCATGAATACATTTATATCTTTGTGGGATTCAACGTGTTGATTATTTGTACAAATTGGAGTGCGTACGTCCTGCTAATTAACATAGCTTTCACCTCATTTACTTCATCACAGTGTTAAAACATTTGTGTTCTATACTTGATAGATTGGACTTGTATCCTTGCAATATGCTCCATAGGTGTGGTCCCACCATTAACCCTCCCTCTATTGAAACACCCCTCCCTTCCCTTCCCTCTTTCATCCTGGGCAATAGTTGTGATTCATCTCTCATATGAATTTGTGAGTGATTATAAATTGGCTTTACAGTAGTACTGAGTACACTGGATAATATCCAGCATCCTTTTTTGATCAGAACACTTAAGAAAATAGGTAGAAGGAACATTTCTTAAACTGATAGAGGCCATCTACAGCAAACCTAAAGCCAATATCATATAGAATGGAATAACACTGAAATCATTCCCACTCAGATCAGGAACCAGGCAAGGTTGCCCACTGTCTCCACTGCTTTTAACACTGTAAAGGAAGTCTTAGCCATTGCAATCAGACAAGAGGAGGCAATCAAGGGTATCCAAATAGGATCAGAGGAGATCAAAAGGGACTAAACTACAAAACTCATAGAAGTGATCAAGGAATACAGTAGCGTCTCAGGATACAAAATCAATACTCACAAATCTGTAACTTTTACATATACCAATGACAGTCAAGGTGAGAAACAATCAAGGAATCTATTCTCTTTACTATTGTGTCAAAGAAGATGAACTATCTGGGAGGGCACCTAAAAAAGGACGTGAAAGAGCTCTATAAAACTATGAAACTCTTAAAAAAGAAATAGCTGAAGATGTTAACAAATGGAAAAATATACCATGTTCACGGCTGGAAAGAATCAACATTGTTAAATGTCTGTATTTCCCAAAGCAATCTACAGATTTAATAATCCCTACTAAAGTTCCTCTGTCATATTTTAAAGATTTGAAAAAATTAGTACGTCATTTTATATGGAAACAGAAAAAAACCTCGAATAGCCAAGACATTACTCAGAAATAAAAACAAATCAGGAGGTATCACACTACCAGACTTCAGACTATACTATAAATCTATAGTGATCAAAACAACATGGTACCAGCACAAAAAGAGAGAGGTAGATGTATGGAACAGAATTGAAAACCAAGAGATGATCCCAGACACTTACCGTTATTTGATCTTTGATAAGCCTATCAAAAATATAAATTGGGGGAAAGATTCCCTATTTAACAAATGGTGCTGGGTGAATTGGCTGGTGACTTGTAGAAGACTGAAACTGGACCCATGCCTTTCTCCTCTAACAAAAATTGACTCTCACTTAGGACTTAAACTTAAGGACTTAAAGGACTTAAAACTTAAGACATGAAACTATAAAAATTCTTGGAGAAAGTGCAGGGGAAACACTTGAAAAAATTGGCCTGGGAGAATACTTTATGAAGAGGACCCCCAGGGCAACTGAAGCAACATCAAAAATATATTACTGGGATCTGATCAAACTAAAAAGCTTCTGTACTGACAAGAACACAGTAAGTAAGGCAAATAAACAGCCCTCAGAATGGGAGAGGATTTTTGCAGGTTATATTTCCAACAAAGGCCTAATAACCAGAATCCACAGAGAACTCAAACTTATTAATAAGAAAAGAACAAGTGATCCCATTTCATTGTGGGCAAGAGACATGAACGGAAGCTTCTCTGAAGATGACAGGCACACGGTCTACAGACACATGAAAAAATGCTCATCATCTTTAATCATCAGAAAAATGCAAACCAAAACCACTTTGAGATATCATCTAACGCCAGTAAGAGTAGCCCACATCACAAAATCCCAAAACTACAGATGTTGGTGTGGATGTGGAGAAAAGGGAACACTTCTGCATTGCTGGTGGGAATGTAAGCTAGTACCTTCCTTTTGGAAAGAAGTTTGGAGAACACTCAGGGATCTAAATGTAGACCTGCTGTTTGAACCTGCAATTCCTCTACTAGGTGTATATCCAAAAGACCAAAAATCACTTGGCAACAAAGATATTTGCACCAGATTGTTCACTGCAGCTCAATTCATAATTGCCAAGTCTTGGAAGAAGCCCAAGTGCCCATCGACCCATGAACGGATTAATAAATTATGGTATATGTATACCATGGAATACAATGCAGCATTAAAAAATTCTTGATTTAAAATATATCTATGATATACATCTCGTAAGGCAGCCTAGGAACACAGGCGCCTGCCACAATGCCCAGCTATTTTTTGTTGCAGTTTGGCCGAGGTCGATTTGTACCCAGCACCCTCGGTATGCCACCCTCGGCTGGCATCCTACTCACTGAGCCACAGGCGCCGCCCAAATAACCTGCTTCTAACAAAGGAAATATGGCAAAAGTAATGGGATGTGACTTTCAAGATTAGGTTATAAATATACCGTGGCTTCCATCCTGGATATCCTCTCTCTCTCTCACCTGCTCTGAGAGAAGCCGGCTCCCATGCTGTCAGCTGCCCTGCAGAGAAGCTCAACTGGTAAGGAACTGATATCTCCCAACCCACAGTAGCCACATGAATGGGCTCAGAAGCAGATCCTTGTCCAGGCTGAGCCTGGCGTTGAATGCAGCTCTAAATGACACCCTAAATGAAGCATCAAGCCACTTACACCCAAAGGTATCCATGCTCAAATTCTTAACTCAAGAAAAATTATGATAAATGTTTGTTCTTTTAAGCCTCAAAGTGTTGGGATAACTTGTTACACAGCAATAGATACAGATACAACAATATCACTTTCAATTATCATGAAAATACTTCCAAGTAGATCTTACCATCTCCTTTGCCTATGGACTCTTCACCTTCCTTGTTAACTACAGCATCTATAACAAAATCAGAAAATCCAATTTAAAAAATAGTTAAAAAGAAGGTGTATCAATTTAGGCTTCCTATTCATTTCCCAATGAGTTCAGACTAATAATCTCAAGAAGCAAAATCTGAGTGAGGTTAAAGGTGAAAGTTAGCAGTTACTACTAGTAACTGATTTAAATTTCCCCTTTCATTCTTTGAGCTTCACGCATAGCACCGAATATGAAAAGCTGACTCTATGGTAAAAGTCATTTAACGAAGCAGTGAGATACAGCAGAGGCCCTGAAGATCTGTTATCCAGCTCTGCCTAGACCACCTAATAGCTTTTAAACTATGGACAAGCTTCTAATGCAATCAAGTTTCAGTTATTGCATCTATAAAATGGGGATAATGCCTTGATGATCTTGTAAGATTGTCTTGGGGATTAACTGAAATAACATAAAAATATTCTGCAAGCAGTACAATGTTATTAAAAAATAAGATTTTATTTTTTTTTATTTTTTTTAATAAGGTTTTATTAAAATGTATTTCAAGGGTAGAATACACATAAGGACTAGTAATCCTGTAATGGTAACTTACCAATTCACAACCAGAATTGCTTAACTCAATTTTAAGATTAATAAAAAGGGGCAAAAGTCATTAATAAATTCACCAGAAAGTCAAATGGCTAATAAGCATAATATAATTATCATATTAGCGGAAATATCACCTTACTTGTGTGTGTACTCCCCAGTAACGCACAGCAAGCGTGTGCACACACACTTTTATTTATTTATTTATTTTGAGACAGAGTTTTTATTTATTTATTTATCTATTTATTTTGAGACAGAGTCTCACATGTTGCCCTTGGTAGAGTACTGTGGCGTCACAGCTCATAGCAACCTCAAACTCCTGGGCTTAAGCAATTCTGTTGCCTCAGCCTCCCAAGTGTCTGGGACCACAGGTGCCCGCCACAACGCCCAGCTATTTTTTGGTTGTAGTTGTCATTGTTGTTTGGCAGGCCTGGGCTGGATTCAAACCTGCCAGCTCCAGTGTATGTGGCTGGTGCCCTAGCCACTGAGCTACAGGCACCGAGCCCACACACACTTTTAGAAGTTACTAATTTTTGCTTAATAAAATAAGTATTCTTGCTTATAAGATAAAGAAATTGAGGCATATGTCTTAACACAATACTTAAGTAAATGAGATGAGGTATATATTAACCAGTGCAACGTGAGCGTTCCTAATTCTATATGAAATCAGCACACTGTACCCCATAAATGCATTAATGTATACATGATCTATGTGTTTATGATTTGATTAAAAAAAATCTTAAAAAAGAAAATGAGGCATAAATAGAGGAATAAGCCTTTTACTTCAGTTGGGTTGCATTCTTGACAATGAAAACCACCAGCACTATAATCAGTAACCATGTTTTTTCTTACTATTAATATGAAATCCTAATGACAAATTTTATCGCATTTTAAAAAATAGAAAAAGTAATTAAAGAAAAAAGTAATTTATTTATTTAGCTTAAAAAAATTTAAGGGAATTTAATTTATAACACAAACACTTCCCAAATGCTTCCTCCTACTGAAGGTGTTCCAGGGAAATCTCACACACCAAAACTCCCAAGTCAGTACTAAGCCCAGAAGCCTTTCTTAACTCTAACCCACATCCATCCTCACTCTGCAAACTCTGTCGTCTGACTTCTCTTCATCCTGAAGTGACAAGAATCTTTCCTCTTTCATGAGGTGGAATATAGGGGAGTGAGACCTGGTCATTTTCAGGCTATGGGAAAGCAGAAGACACTCAATAATTCTGTACCATCATATATGGATTTATGCCTTCTGATTATGAAATTAATTATAGGAAATTGGGAAAAGGGACCATTTTTAAGTAAAAAATAAAACTGTTTAAGATCATGAGTGGATGTAACGATTTTAACATTCTGCTACTCATGAAACTTAAATTCTCTCTAGTTTTTCACTATAAGTAAATGTACAAATCTTTGTGTGCTTTCTTGAATATTTCCTGAAATAAATTTGTAGAAATGAAATTATCAGGTATGAATATTTTACCCTCTAGAAATGTACCCATATTATTGATAATACTGCTATTAGCAATGAGACTATTCCATTAAGAAAAACATTATCTGGCCGGCGCAGTGGCTCACACCTGTAAGCCTAGTACTCTGGAAGGCCAAGGGAGGCGGATTGCTTGAGCTCCGGAGTTCAAGACCAGTTTTAGCAAAACAGAGAACCCCATCTCTACTAAAAACAGAAAAATTAGCTGGGCACTGTGCAGACACCTGTAGCCCCAGCTATTCAGGAAGCTGAGAGAGGAAGATCATTTGAGCTCAGAAGTTTGAGGTTGCTGTGGGCTAGGCTGAAGCCAGGGCCTGAGGAAACTGAGTGAGACTGTGTCTCAATAAAAAGAAAAAGTGTGTATATGGATATAAATAAATATATATACACACACACATTAAGTACAAAAAGCACAGCTAAACAATGTACCTTGTTCATATACTCTGATCAATGATATATGTTTCCATTTATAAAGATGGTAAAGTTTTCTTCCTTTTTTTTTTATTTTGAAAAGAAACACCTACAGGATAAGGGATGGTGACATGTGCACACACGCACACACACACCGAGTACTTTCTACACACAGTATAAAAACTGGGGCAATCAGCAGTGCCTCTGGCTCAAAGGAATAGGGTGCCAGCCCCATATGCTGGAGGTGGCGGTTCAAACCCTGCCCAGGGCAAAAACTGCAAAAAAAAGGGAGGGGGAGCATTCTATGACCTAGCCATATTTCTCCATGAAAACATTTAATAAACACTAATTAAACACTAATAATAAGGTATAAAAATTTATAAATTAAAAATTTTTTTTATATTAACACATCTAAAATAGAAGTAGATGCAAGGAAAAGATGGCCTATGAAGGTAAAACCTCCTCCAAGAAACTTCTGTGGAAATTAAAATATGAACCTGAGAGCTATCTGCGTAACTCCCACGTGAAAATTACCATATATTTTAGAATGATAACATCTGAAATATCGGGGCAAAGAGAAAGATACAACCAAAGGGACTGAAAAAATTAGCAAATTGCTATGCATAGTCAGACTGAAGCTATTACCCACATCTTTTAGCCAGAATAAAAATGTAATGACTACCAGCAAGAGAGTATGATCCTCTGATCTGAGCAAACTTACCATCTCTGATGGGTGAGAACATGTCACCTAGACTACTTTTCCCAGTATCATCAAAGCTGGAGAAATCCTGATTTTTTCCACCGTCTGTATCCTTAGATAAAATATCTGTATTTACGCTTCGAGGCAAACCTTATAGGAATTAGATATAAAAATCAGTGTTAATACAGCTTAATAAATTTTACAATCAGAAGCTACGTTGTAAAAATTAATGCATTATCCACATTGCTGGTAATATTAAAACTGTATCAGGAAAAGAAAAGAAAAAAACAGGCATTTCATGGAAATGAGGGGTTCCTCAAAAGCAAATCGCTTATTTGTTCACATACCAACATCTTAGTATAGCTCCTTTGATGAAAAGGTTCTAAAATAATTTATGTACTTTGCTGCACTCTCAAGTATACTGAACACAACTAACTTTTGCTAGTGACTCTTAAATCATCAACAAATGATTGAAAAAAATGTCCACAAGACGTATGGTGCAATGCCTCACGTACAGCAGGATTCAAAGAAAGTTACTTCTCTTCCCCAACTTAGAATGAAAGGGACTCTTTGTTTCCCTTTTCTGACTTTTTCTTCACTGTCATGGGTTAAAGTAACATTGCCCTCAGCATTACTGATCTCAAAGGACTTCACTAACCTCTGTAGTTTACTGAGAGGAAGGAAATCAAAAGAGCAAACTTATGCAGGGTAGACCACATAAGGACAGCAGCAGCAGTTTGCATTTGCTGGCCATATAGGACGCCTGGCTCTCGGGCAGCAATGTGGAGCCCCGCAGACTCAGTAGCTTCCCACTCACTACTGGGATAAGAACTGAGTTCTTGAGATTCAAACACCTGGATGAAAGTCTGGGATCTGAACAGGCAGCATGTTACTGTGCTACATTTTCAGAAGTGTTTCATTTGGCATCTCAGTTGGAAATGAAAACTGAAAAGCTTGAGATGAAAATAAAGAATACCCTGCATACCCCAAAATGCTCCAGAGCGGCTCCCCACGTAAACTTTTCTATAACACGGGTTACAAATTTAAAATAAAACAGAGTAATTTGTTTCACTGTTGAAGAATGTTTACACTAAGAATTAAGTTGCTACCATGAAGAAATTTCCTCTCTTTTTTTTTTATAGTTTGAATATCTTAACTCCAGCCTCTGAATTTTAGGGAAAGGATGTTTGGTATCATTTGCAAATAGTGCTAAAGCCTTACATATTTATTTTTTTACTTCTAATATGACTGTTTCCTATCAAAAATGAGCACCAGCAAAATGTCTACAGAAGTTCTCTTGAATAACTAAATTAGGACACCTTCAAGTAGAAGCAACATGCATTTTTCAACCTTTAGATTAATCTTACACAAAGCTTAAAATACTAACAGTAATAGCGGTGATGACCATGATGATGACAATGATACTAGCAACGCTGTAATTTGTGGAGTGTCTACCATGTGCCAGGCACTTGGTACATTTTCTCTCATATTCACATGACCTTAAAAGCTAAATATTGTCTCAGCATATGAAGAAAAAAGTGAGATTCGGGGTAAGGAAACTGCCTAAAACCACCCTAGAGGAAGTGACAGACTTGAGACTAAGAGACTCTCAATGTTTCAGAAGGCAAGAAAAATATACCTGTGTGTATTTGAAACAGAATGACTAAGCAAATGTGGCGAGATTCATAAAATTTACAAAGCAGTGATTCTGTGAAAGGGCAAAGCTCAGGAGTTCTTTGTACTATCGTTAAAACTTTTCCCTAAGTCGATCGTTCAAAATGAAATTAATAAAATCTGTCTGTGGGGGCAGAAGACACACTCATTTTGCTAGAAATCTGGGGACTCTACCAAGAGTAATCACTAATCAGTGACCCAGCTGACCCGAGTCTTTCATGTCCTAATTAATGCTGTCATTATTCAGTAAGAGCCGCCTTATTAAAACTCCTGAATAACAGGAGAAACTTCAGAGAATTTACAGCAAACCAGAGAACACTTTGTTTAATTTTTGAAGATTATAAATAAAGTTAACCTTGTAAAATGATGTTGAAAATAATAGCAACTTTCATAATATAGTTAATTCAACATTTTGGGGCTGACATTATTCAAAATTATATTTCAAAAAGAATTTTTTCTCCAGGACCTATTATTTTTCTATGTATAATGACTTTTATGTTAAGATTATATAGATAACTATCACAGGAAATTTATAGTAAATATACTATTTTTTAAAACTATTCTGTACTACTCAAGGTCAACAAATTACAGTTTTGCTTCTACTTATAAACAGCAAACTCAGACTCAGAAGACACCAAATATTTTTGCCCAAGTACTTACTACGAAAATTTAAAAAGACATAGATATATATATTTCTAGCAAGCATATTTTGGAAACATACCAGTATACAGGTAGACTTTTAAAAGTGACAGTGCAGCATAGCTTCTTAAAATAAAAACAAAAAATGTTTTGACGATTGTACACAGAATGATCCTTAGGGTGGGCCCAGAATACACTAAGTATTGGAAGATTATACCTTCGTAAAGTCTAAATGAATTACTGTTTCACTAATTGAATCAACCTGACTATCAGAGTAGAAGAAACCATTTAAAAACCTGCAATATTTCCATTTATTTTTATTTAACAAACTATAAATAGACTGCTTGATATGTGCAGGTATTATTCAGTATTTAAAAGTATTCATCACTTGACTCACTTTTCACTCTGAAATATGAAAATAAAAGGAGCCATTAATAACTTTCCTTTTTTTTAAACTAGGAGATCAAATCATAATGAATGCGTCAAATTTTCCTATCTCTACTAATCTGAAGACGCAATGAAAAGTCTTCCAGTCTGTAGTCGAGCTAACAATGAATAATTTTTGAGTTGGCCTCATTCTGTTTTTAAAATAATATTTCTCTTAACAGTTCAGCTACATAGAATAATTGCCTCTTTGTTAACTTTCCTGAAATTTATACCTAAAGTTAAAATTTTCACTTCTTCAATAACATCTACTAATATTTTTCCCTAAATACTCAAGTGAATTTTGAGTTCTAGGTTCTGAAATAATAATCTTATATATATATATATGTATATACACACACACACACACACACACACATATATATATATGTGTGGAAAAAATCTCCCCCAAATATGATATGTAAGCAACACTTACCTGCTTTGTCTTGAGCAGCGACTGCTCCTTTCCCCACAACTGTTGTCATGGGTTGTGGCAGAACGGTAGCGACGGAAGTGGCGGTTGCTTCTCTGACAATTCCAGAATGCTGAACTCCTCCACCAGTGCTGCCCACATTCACAGTTCGCTTGTTCACTGCCGTGGGCTTATTTGAACAGCTCTTATTTAAACTTGACTAAAATGTAATGAAATATTTTAAAGCTCAGGTTACTAATGTCTCATACTACACAGTAATTAATATTTCATAAATTCCCTGTTAAATAAAAAAATAAATTTTTCCCCTTACACATCTTAAGCTTGCTGGTGGAGCTGAGCTTCCCTGAGAACCAAAAATCTCTTAAAATAGTTTTGAAGAGAGGATATATGCAAATTAAGTACCAAAAGATTTAAAACTAAGCATCAAATGGTTTTTACTAAAATTATCTAAAAGGCTGTGATATAAAAACAATTACAAAGCAAAACTACACTGTTTAATTGATAGCACATAATTTCCATATTCTGAGCTAGATTTATTTAGTAAAATCAAAAATGCAAAAGAGAAAATATTTCACCTTACTGAGAGCAGTGGAGTACTGAAACGCTATACACTGCACAGATGTCTTGTGAGCACTGATGGTTTTAACTGGTGATTTCAACATCCTTAAATCATATTGATATATTTTCCCACGGGAAGATCCAATAGCTAAAGTGGCTCCATCAGGCATAAAATCTACTGCAGTTAGAGGAGCGTCGGCCACTAAAGTCTTCACTACCCTTCAGAAAGCAGAACACAGTGTATCCAGATGTGTTAGTACATAATACAGCTGTAAAAGCTTATCTATCATATAAAAACCTGTACACCGAAAACAAAGTTACTTAGAATTGGGCAAACAGCATACAGACCCCAATTGCTTGTTTAGAACAGAATGTGAGAATTTGACTTAGAGACATTTCTAATAAAATGGCACATAAAGAACTGCTGGACATTCCATCCTGTTTTCCTATTCTCTTCCAAGAGGTGCTTTCTGTATTTTCTAAAGGCAGTACCTATTTCTAAGAATGTGACAGAATTCCTGTGTGTTACACGAGACAAACAGGGTCTCGCCTTGGGGCTGAGGAGGCTCTAAGTAGCCACTTTCCATCTAATGACCCACTAGGCCTCTAGAGGACCATGACCTTTCACAGGGGAGCAGCTGCTACTTTATTCTTAGCTGTCCATTTCTTGACCAAAAAGCTAAGAGGAACAGAGTTTGTGTGGCTCACAACCTAATGCAGAAAGATGGATGCTGATCTGCTGAAGCTGGGCTCTGTGCTGGTGTGTCTGGGAGAAGAGAAGAATGTTTGGCTGACACTTGGGGTTCTCAGGAAATTAGTCCAAAAACACAGAGCAAAGTAAGTAACAGTAAAAATCCTAAAGTCGTAACACCAGCTGACAGTGGGACCTTCCCTAGTTGTAACATTAAATATTCCCCATGATCTTTACACAGTTAGGTGTCCTGAATACAACTGCGGCTCACTTGCAGCTCTTTTGTTTCGGTTAAGTTTAGCTTTTTTTTTTTTTTTTAGCTAACCAAGCATACCTACAAGTGAAGATGGGACAGTGGGTCCACATGCTCAGACTATGTCCCCCTAGCTCTAGATCAGGGTTTCTCCACTAGGCATTTTACATGCATGCCATAGCTGACAATATCAGGACACAATGTAGGTATCACTACTGGCATTCGTTGGGTGGAGGTCAGGGATGCTGCTCACTGCCCTCTAATGCCCAAGGCAGACACCTCCCCAAGCAAAAAATCATGTAGCCCAAGAGGGCCACAGTTTAGAAACTTGCTCTAGATAACAAATAGTTCTAAAGCAAATTAATCATACTACTTTAAAAACGTAGTTGTGTTAAGAAAGAATAATATGTATGCTAAAATACAGATGTGAAGTTATTAAGATGCTATTTCTCAACATTCATGTCTAGAAGTATATAGACTAAAACCTGCCCTGGCAGCACCTGTGGCTCAAGGAGTAGAGTGCCAACCCCATATGCTGGGGGTGTCAGGTTCAAACCCAGCCTCAGCCAGAAAAAAAAAAAAAATGCAAAAAAACCCCCATGCCCCACCTACTTTTTTCTGCATTAGAAGAAAAAAAAATCTTATCTTACTAAGTATATCAAGTATATAAACTTCAGATCCGCGGACATTTACCAGAGCTCTACACAAATCACATAAATCTGCTAATAAAATAACTTCATTACTAAATTAAGAAATGAGCATATCACACTACTTACTTCTTACTCGAAGTATCGTACAGAATGATTCTTTTATCCAAGCCTACGGTTACAAATAGCAGTTCATTGACAGGAGAGAAGCAGATGCCTGACGCTGGAGCTTTATGCGTACTGTCAAAGTTATGGTATGGACTCTGACTATTCACATCCCAGAGAGTCACCACTCCATTATCCGAAACACTGCCCAGGAGGGACTTCTTAAACAAGGAGTACTTCAAGTGCCGTACAGACTATAAAAATAAAAGAATAAACTTTATGCAATTATAGATTCATAAAGACATTTTTTATAAACTATATAAATAATAGCCAACCAAACTATTCACATGGGGTTTAGGATTTCTCTGGTTTATAAAGTGACAGGTTTCATCACAACAACTATGATACCATTTCGTGGACTATGACTTGGAAACACAGCAGTATTCTATTAATTATTTGTCCCCATTTTATTGTCCTGGAAGATAGCTACCTCAGGCTCTCTCTTTCAGAGGAAAAATACAATTCAGAGATAGTTTACATTAATTCAACAGGGTTAGAACATTCACCTTAAAGAAAAGCCAGATCACAAACAAGTATAAGAGAATGAGGGGAGAGAATAAGTAACAATATTTCTTGTTTTCTATGTATATTTTAGGTATTTAGCTATATTTGTTTGAATCTGAGAATCTGATGGTGCTGACAATTTAACACTTAAAGTGTGATAAAAAATTAAACCACAAAGGACAAATTGGCAACACTATAGACTGGGGAAAGACTGTATCCAGTCTTTCAAAAGCATCAGCCCGAGGGCAGTGCTGGCTTTCTCTAAACCCTCTTCTCTAGGGACAGCAGAGATACCTCTCTCTTCTATTTTCTACAGGGCAGTATAAACAAAGATCCAGTTTGAAACAGGTCTTAGGTTAAAACTGGCTGAGTTTTCTCTACGTTTACTAAAATGTTGCTTTCAAACGTATACTCATGTTATTGTTTACTGTTCTGAGAATTAAGTACTTCACATTTAAACTAATTTCCCCCACAAGTTCATATGCTACTTATTTCTAAGATGTTTCAAATAAAACTATTAGCCCCCAACAACAAATGTTTAGGAATAACATAAAACAAATTCTAGGAAAACAAAAGGAGTATTAGTTACCAGGCAATGGTGAAATAATTAATGTTAATCATTAAATTTGGCTCCTTATTTTTATATGGCTAAAGTACAGAGATAAATAAAATATTGACTTATATGGGTTTTATTTTTGTTGAGAAAAAGCATGCCACTTGAATATACAAATCTTTCATCTGCTCTACAGTTGAGAAAAATTACATGAACCTTGAATACCTAAGAGACATAATTAATGTTTCTACAGCCATACAGAAACCTATCAAAACAGAAGGTAAAACATTCATTTTCAAAAGACTGTTATAATCCTTTACACAATCTAAATATGGATTAAATGTACAAGTAAAATTTAAAATAGGCCGGGCAAAACCTGTGGCTCAAAGGAGTAGGGTGCTAGCTCCATATGCCAGAGGTGGTGGGTACAAACTTAGTCCCGGCCAAAAACTGCAAAAAGAAAAAAAGAAAAAAAAAAAAAAATATATATATATATAGTACATAAAGTTCTGTACTCTCTCTATATATACATATATATACATAAAAAACTAAAACCATAAAATCACAAACCTGGGTAGATTCTCAAAATTCATGAAGTTCAATCTCTTAGCCACAGCAGGAATTTGCCTAAAACATCCTGAAAATATGGACACCCAGAATCTCCTCGAACATAGCAGGAAACAAAGAGCTTACTACTTTACATAATAGAATTTTGTGAATAACAAAAATGTATTCCTTGATTAAGTCAAAACCTAAATTCCATATATTGCTTCAAGTTCTTAGGACCTATAGGGCAACGCATTAAGGAAAAACAGCTAAAGATAACCATAAATGTTCCGCCTCAGGTAAACATTCAAACTCTGTAGGACTCAGCAACTCCAACTCTCCAAACCTCAGTGTTCTCATTTACAAACAGAAAATACTCTTGTTCGCCTATCAAGATTATTTTGAGGATTAAAGAGCATCTGTGCACAGAGCCAGGCACACAGTAGCTGTCTCCCCTATTCACAGTTTCATAACCTTCTTACTCACTGTCTCTTACGCATGCATATGCACCATTCAACCTTTTTGTTTTGCAGTTTTTGGCTGGGGCTGGGTTTGAACCTGCCACCTCCAGCATATGGGGCCAGCGCCCTACTCCTTTGAGCCACAGGCACTGCCCCCATTCAACCATCTTTTACACATATTTTTCAAAGTAACCACACTGACTTCTTTAAATGCATCTCCTTTATCTCTTTAATAATTAACAGAACTTCACTTCTGAATGTTCTACATCTATCAGATCATCTCTTTAGAATATCAAGATATTAGTTAATAATGCTGGATAAACAAAACATTGATCTACCAAATTATATATATATGTATTTTTTCCAAATTATATTTTAAATATTCGCTCCTTTGGGTGCTGGTAGCACTTATCAAGCTCCATCTTGTCCTGAACTAAACAATTTCTAAGAAAAAAGATACTATCAAGAAGCTTATGAGGAAAAAACTAATCCCAGCACTATAAGCAACAATACTTCTTTTTTTCTTTTTTTTACTATACATCATCAATGTGTAAGAACCTATAGAGGAGGGAGATTGTTTCTAAATATAAAAAGTATACTACTCACTACAAATGAGAAGTTGGCAAACTTATTCTTAAAAAGGCCCAGGTGGTAAATAGTCCCTGCTGTTGTACTACTGAAGTGGTTACAGACAATACATCAATGGCCAGCCATAGGTCAAAGTTTGCCAACCCCTTGTATAGATATTTGGAAAATTATAAAAATCATCCCTGATCCCACCACCTAAAGAGAAACTGGTTAATATTTGGGGGGAAGCATATCCTTGAAGTATTTTTCTGTGTATACATACATTGGGTGTCTATTTAACAGAGTATCAATAGGAAACCTGGGATCATACTTCATTAGTATAAACAACCATGGCATTCGTGTTTTCTCCTACATAATTCTAAGAGCTGGATAATGTATGAATGCATGAATATATCAATTTATCTAAAGAATATAATACCGGACATTTAGGTTCCTTCTAATTTCCAAGTGCTCTACTATCATTTTAAAATATTGCTAATTCATGAAAGAATTTGTATTTCATTGCTGTTCAGACTTTCAAGGTTCTTGGTTGAAAAATACTAAAAGTTCACCTTCTTTTGTGAATTGCCCATTCATTTACTTTGCCCTTTTTCTACTGGGCTATTAAGATGTTTTAATACTAACTTGCAACAGTTCTTACTATGTTAACTCTAAATGTTCCCATCATTTTTCAGTGCTTTTCCTAATTCCTTTCATTTTGGTTGAATTTCGTTGTCTTGCATTTTAAATTTTTATGAAGTTGTGTATTTATCTAACTTGTTCCCAATGACTTAAAAATTTGTTCTTATACTTACAGAAACCTTCCCATCGCATAGATAAGAACATACATTCATATCATCTCCTTAATAGATATTATAAAGCTACAGAAAATAATACAAAGATATACTATATTCATGGATGTAAACATATATACTCACATAACTATGTATGCATAAACACACACGGTATTCCTCTGATTCCACCCCTCCCTCTTCTTGGTTCTCAGCATCTTTGTTCAAGCTCTCATCATCTGTCACCTGAGCCAGTGCACAGGCATCCTACTTCCATCTTCAGTGGCTCACTACCCACCCTCCACTCTAATGCAGCAGTAACATCCTCAAAACTAGAAACCAGAATGCTTTTTTCTCTTGCTTAAAATCCTTCCAATCAGGGAAGTCTGAGAAAACAGTGGTTACAGTGGTGGCAAAGTTTTTGAATCTCTTTTAATTCCTGTGTGTGGGCATGCACATATCTGTATGTTTCAGTGTGGAGAAAAGCAGGCTTGAGAATGCCTATCTTTAGAAAGCCCTGCTTTCCTAGTTAGTCCACGGCTAGGACCTGCGAACTTGAGTTTGGGGAGGGTTCCCACTACCCTAACTGGTAAGAGTGGCTCACTGTACCTAAACTGTGTAGAAGACATGGTTTATAGCTGAATGCTTGGTTTCCCTCTGGGAATTTGGAATTTTGGTATATACTAGGCAGAGGATGCCTAGGTAAAAAGTCCCTAGTAAAAACCACGGGCAATGAGTCTCCACCATGCTTCCCTGGTAGATAAGATTTCATACATGTCACAATTCAATGTTGGAGGATGAACATGTTCCTGGTTTCCCACAGACTTCACCCTATCAGATTTGCCTGTTGCTGATTTTACTTTATATCCTTTCAATGTCATAAACTGTAGCTCTGAGTCCTGTGAATCTTCCCAGTGAATCATCAACTTGGTGGTATGTGCGCGTGTTTTACAGACAGTACACTAAATAACAAATCTAAAATCCCATGCACAACTTTTACAGCAAAACTAGATGATGAGGTATCCCCATGAAACCCAAAAGACATGCTGCTAAGTCAACAATTAACATCCACCAATCCTTCAGGGTTTTAGTGTCTGTGCAGAAAGAAGCAGAGGGAAATAACAAAAAATCTGAAACAGATCTAAGAACAAAGCAGCCCACATAGCCAAAAGGTATTCACAGAAAAGCATGTTTATTTTATTTTAATTTATTTTTATTATTAAAATACAGCTGTGTACATTAATGGCAGTCATGGGGTACAGTGTGCTGGTTTTATATTTTACGACATCAGCCCAAACCAGGAATACCCACTGAATCAGGAGGTCTATGTAAAAGGTCTGCAGAAAGGTCTGGAGGACAAGAGTAGTTTAGCACCAGTGACTAACCACAGCTGACCAGCCAAAGGGCACCCCTCCCAGGGTAGGGCCCCATTCTGTGGAGACACTTCTGGGACAGGAAGCAAACCCGAACGCAAGGGAGGGGACAGACCCGAAGGACAAAGGTCCACATACAGGCAGGAGAAGAGAATAGTGCCAGGGAACCTAAGAAAGCGCTGTCATGAAAACAGGCAGACAAAATAAAAACTATCAGAAAACAAGGATGAGCTCTGCAGGTTAAAGACATCCTAAGACTCATCTCTGCCCAGAAGTTCAGAGAAACTAATTTCACAGATAAATCCCACACAAAGTTATTAAGAAAAGAAAGAGAAAAAGGAGAAAAGTACTGTCAACAAATGGCCAAAAGAACAAAAAATAATACACAACATTAAAAAA